TGTTTTTAAAAATTAGAAGACTTTTCGCCGCCTCCCCAGAAAGCTTTCTAAACCGGATTAAGAAATCTTCCTGGAGAGGTGGCGAAACGTCTTCAAATCTTGAAAACCAAGTCCAGTGGATATTTTTTTTTGAATTTTTACGGAGTGAAATTACTCCTAAAAGTATATTTGTGTTATAAAGCGTGCCACAAGGCCACTGTTGGAGACCCCTGATCTAACTGATTTATTTGTGTATAGATTAAGATTAAGGTGACTCACCAATTACCAATCTATTCTGTTAGTTAATATCATCATAATAAATTGATTATTATATTTCACCATAGGTGTCTTAAATAGTTTTTTCCTATGATGCTGTTAGCAACAAGAAAAGAAAAAAATACATAATTACAGACAGGGGTCACAAAGCAAGCAGGCCATGCTTTTCCATCTAGAATTTGAGGCCGGACAAGGGAAGAATTCATTAGAGAAGGAGCCAGGAGGCTCAAGCTGCATAGATTCACAGGAGGAGCATGTCAAACAATTATCTGTGAATTCCACTTATCTGGAAGAGTGGCAGTGAGATTATCATTGTTGAAAGAAAACATAAGTATTTCTCTTTGCATTGTCAACAGCTAGGGAGGAGAATGAGAACAAACATGGAAGAGGGTTTCCCCATATGTAAGTAAACTTCCTACACTACATGCAAGTTGATATGTGTTTGGAAAGCTAAAGCTGCCTCCTGCCCTATATCATTCCCACAGTGAAGATGGTGGTGGAGGCATCATGCGGTGGGGATACTTTTGACAGCAGAGATGATGAACCTGGTTGGAGTTGATGGCTGGAGCTAAATGCAAGCCTAGGAGAAAAAAAAATATTAGCAGTTGCAAATACTTGAGGCCAGGGGAAAGATGGACATTTTAACAGGACAAGGACCCCAGGGCAAATCCATTGAGCCAAGTATGTTGACCCAGCCGGAGCCCAGATGTACTGTACAGCAAATCCAACTGAAATATATGCCAAGATTTAAAAATATGTTTTCTCCATACAATCTGATTGTAAGTTGCAAAGATAGTTTGCGAAAATTCTGGTGTCTAGATGCACAAATCTTGCAAAAACCTAATCCAAAATGACTGCAGTAATAATTCAAACAAAGGGAGGTTCTAAAATTATGTATTCAGTTTGACTAAATAAAAATATGCATCACAGATTTGTAATTTAATAAAACAAAAAACAAAAATCAGTTACTTTGTTTTTAAAATAATATATTATGTGACAGCTCATTTTATTACATATACCCCCATTAAAATATATGGAGATTTGTATTTGTAACTTCACATAATTGTAGAATTACTAGAGTTCCCATTGTATACTGACCCAGATCTATAATTGTTCTTATTTGGAGGAACTGCAGTCTGCTCAGAAGGTTTGTCACACCGTTCCCTAGTGCTTTAAGAGAGGCATATGACTCGGCTGCAAACATTGCAGTCTAAACAATATATTGTTGAAGACATTCTCAAGTATAGAGAACATAACAGTTCAGCTCTTGAGACCTTTGCACATGTTTACCTTGCTGTCACGTACCACCTCTGTATGTCTAGAACAAAACGGAGATGAATTATTAAAGATCTACTGATGGCATTTCAAAAAGGCAGTGGACAGTGCTACCTGCTAAAATGAATACCCTCCCGTCTCAATACGGTGTTCATAGACCATCACCAAATAACAACAATAACCCAAATTGTAAAAGCTTTTGCACTTTAAAGATTCCTCCACAACTTTGGAAATAACTATGTAATGCCTGTACTAAATTATAAGCTGAATAGCAAAAGCGTAATTTTGTGGTAATTTTTGACCTTCTTACAACACAGAAATCATAAAAAGTTAACAAGATATGGGATTTACCTGACAGACTGTTAACAGTTTTAACCACAAAATCTAACTGTATGTTAGATTTAGTTGAAAGCAATGAATGTGATTGGTTCATTAAAGTAAAGTGATACCTATAAATTACAAATGTAACAAAATCTGAACTCACCTCAATATGATTAACCTCATGGAAGTAAGCCCAGACTCTAGACTGAACAAGTCCTTTTAAGACTTTGCTTATAGTTTAATAGTTGTTAGGCCATTAGAGCAGTAAAAACCACACACTACAAATATATATATATTTCTGATATCAATATTAGGTGATAAGTGGAAGGTTGAGAACTACCCTGCAGCTTTAGCTATAGCTTTTTTAAATCCTCTGTTGTTTCAGTCATTCCAGTTCCTGCTTGATCTCCAGAATCTCTAACATGGCATAAGCCAGATTGCTACAGTGTAGAATTAAAATTGAACCACAAGTATACAATTTTCAGGAGTTTGTGAATTCATAAATCATGCGACAATTCCTTTTGCTTGCAAGATAACAGCAGCTCCACTTAAATTCAACTTTACAGTCCCATAAGTGTCCTAAAGAAGTTTTAAGGTTGTGAGACTCCAAGGCAGTGAGAACAACAAAACCAGGAAATGACCAGCCTGATCAAGTCGTCTGAATCGATTGTAATAGATGTTTTGGTTTCACAAAGTTTAGCTTAGATTTTTTCCCTCACTGTGACGACCCGTTCAACATCTCTTAGTGACTCTCTTTAGGGGTTTATTTTCTTGCATCAATAGAAAATCCAAGTTAAAACAATAATCAGGTGAGGTAAGATTTTGAAAGTTATAAATGTTTTAGCTGTTGCAATGGTTTTGGTTAATCTTGTGATAAAGATGTCTTTCATCAGATATTAAAAAAGTGTTAATGTCCTAGAAAACAAACGAATGAAACAATAGGATTCATTTGAAAACATTTAATAGGAAAAGCAAATAAATGATCTTTCAGACAGATTACAATAACAAAGCAATATGGAATAAGCTGCTGCATAATTCATATTTTTAGAGAAAGTGTAAACACACCAGTTCAAGTCATATCAATGTTTTCTCTGCATGAGGAGAAGGAACTACAGCTTAGCCCATTCATAACACACCAAAATACATCACTTCCAGTGAGCTCAGCATCTTAATGGGTCTAGGGAGCAGGGGAGGGTTGTGAATCTGGCTGCTTGATGCTGATTTGCAAAGCTAGTTAAGAATTTTTCACTGCAAGTGGTCAGACAGCTAGGAGGATTTCCTCATGAGTCCAGAGGGGAAAGTGATCATTCAGTCAGAACAGTCGTCTTGTGCTGAAATCTTGCCATGGTTTCTGGAGATTATTATTTTAAAGGGCGCTTCACAAAAGCTATTTTCATCCATTGCAGTAATGGTTTATGTGTTTCACAATTTGGTAATGCAATACGTAATATTTGGGTTTAATTAAAACCATTGAGCCTCCTCAGAGAGCAGCAGCCTCCACTGCTATAGATGTATAACATTAGCAGGTGAGCTATTATAAAATACCCTAATGTACGTAATATGTAGATGTGCTGTGCAAGAGGTGGTGGTGGTGTGCAGAGTAATGAATTTTACAGTTATGAAACAGACAGGTTTGCTCAGGGGCAAATTTTCATATACTTTTTCATCTACTTCATTGATTTTCCATGGAGAGCTCTTCACTGGCTGATGCTCCAATCTTCTCCAGCCTTGTTGAAGATAAAAAGATGGAAAGAGAAGGTCAACATGCTTATCTTTTTAAAATAATAGAATTTATAATCTTCCTTCTCACATATAAAGGCTAGTAGTTCCTAGAATTTCTAAAAGTAGAATGGGAGGCAGATCTTTTAGTTATCAGACTCCTCTCCTGTGGAACCAACCACCAATTTTAGTCAGACACTCTGTCTACTTTTAAGCGTAGGCTTAAAACTTTCCTTTTTGATAAATCTTTTAGTTAGAGTGGCTCAGGTTAGCCTGAGCTATCTCTATAGTTATGCTGCTATAGGCTTAGACTTCTGGAGGACATAGGGACCCCTATTTCATCATTCTATCTCTATTCTCCCACTCTGCAGAATCTGTTTGTTTAATCTCTAACGTTATGCTCTCTCTGCTTTTTCTCATAGTAGCTTCGCCTAATCTGTTCCTGTTTGACTGTGACCCAATCCTGGAGAGAAATATCAGCTGTGGGCTTGTGCATGCTCTTGCACGCGTTTTATAGGCATTCCCTCTCAGTGGCGGGTACAGGGTTGTGTATGTGCATTTCTTTTTTAAGTGGGGAGAGTGGGTCTTTTCAAAAATTTGTGAAAATTTAAGTCACTGTACTCAGAAATGCATGTAGGTATGTATAGATGCTGTAACCTTGTCTGGAGATGTTCTTCTGCCTCTTCTCTTAGGACTGTAAGATTTAATTGCTCCTTTTCCAGTTGGTTCTTGATCTGGACCAGCGGAAAACACAGCAGTTCAGCTTGAAGTAATCCGCTAGCTTAGGAGAAGCAAGAGAAAAAAGTATTTAGAAAAATTTAAAACTCTTTCTTCATTAACAAAACATTTTCATGTTTTCAAAGAAAAGAGCTAACCCTGTGTTAACATGCAGAATCTGTGTGTGCTACATGCTATGTATTTTAATAGTGCCGCTACCTGACAGAGAAGCATTAGGAAGCTCACAGGAGGGACTGCAGATGACCTCGTCTTTCATGCTGTGGATGGTGACATCATGGCTTTCCATGGCATAGTGCATGAGATACAACAGCACTCCCGTAGTCTCAGGTCTGGTTTTGATTGTGTATTTTCCCAGATTCTAGAAAGGTAGAAGTGTTTGCAGGTTCTTCCTCTTCCTCTTTTACCTCAAACCTCAGCTTACAGCTTTGATCCTCCCATTTGTTATATTTCCAGTTCTCTTCCACTTTAAACAATCCTGGTTTCATTTCCTTTTTACATCCCCACAAGTGATCATTCAGGCCCCTGGCATTTAGACAGAACATGGACAGGGGTGCTGTGATGTGCTTCTTCCATACATCATTGATGCTTTCAATTTTCTTAGAATTCAAACATGATGTGAGTCTTGCAAATGAACAGTGCTCTGACCAACATTTTCGTCCCTTGATAAATTTTTTGCTTTGCTTTTATTGTAACTAGTGTTTTCTAGATTCAACAAAATCAATTATTCTATTAAGGGAAAAAGAAGCTATCTAAACCAAGTTGACAAGAAAGTTGTAATCACAAGCAATGAGCACTTCAACATCACTATACCTTGGTTAAATTAAAACTAAGAATACTGTAGTTTTTGACCGCCTTGCTGGTTGGATCATAATCCTGCTGCTTACTACAAAAGAGTTTGGGGTTACAGGCATGAACTGATGGCCAATCATTTTCTAGGGTTTTTTGGCATAGAGCTAAATGATAGATTCCCTCCCATACAGCAAATCTTTCATTTCCTGAGGCAACAAAGCAGCCCAGAGCATCATGCTTCCACCACTCTAACTGGTGGTTCAATTCACTCGTTAAAATGATGCTAGGTGGGATTAATTGGATTGGACTGAAGCTAGATAAAAGCACAGTTTTGTTATAGTCCAATAAAAGGAGGACCTAACTTTATAGATTTTCTATTTGGAAAAAAATTTCAACAATTTTTTTTTTTTTTAGCACACTTAATCCCATTAATTATAGTTTAAATACTAGTTGAAAGGACTATGAATCTCTAAGTGGCAATCTATTGGTTTGTTCTTTGTTGGTAGTGTACATGCTTTACAAAGTAGCACAGTCCTGTCACATTTACTCTATCAAATCCTTTAAAGTCCTAGAGACAAAGGTTTGGCAGCTGTTAAACAAGATTTTTTCAGATCTTCTGGAAAGGACTGTCTGATAGCTTCTACTCCTACATAGAAATATTACAGCCACATTTTTTTCTACTGAGCAATTCACTGGAGGGCAGCCTGACACAGCTGACAAAGTAGAGAAGATGGGAACATGTTCACTGAGTTCCCTGCAACAAACTAGCAAATGTGAAGTTGTACTATGCTGTTAAATTCTGGACAGCAGCCTGCAGTGTGAGGGGAAGACAGCTTGTCCTGTACCCACTTTTCTTCCAGTTTCCTTTCTTGTTGCTTGGCACTGTCTCTGGACAAATGCATCAAACTCAGATGGCAGGAGAGGGAGGGTGGCTGGGAGTAGGTCGGCAACTTTCACAAATCTCAAGAATGAATAGCTGCAACAACACAAGGATTTGGATCAGGTTACACATTTATTAAATTTGAAAAATAAACTATCCCAAGAAATCCTAAATGATTTCTAAAATGTAACAATCACAGTGATTGCAACCTGTGTCTATGAGGTATTTCATATTCAGTAATTTTGATTCAATTATTTTTTCTTGAAAGGCAATATTATAAAAGCCAGATTGTACTCAAATATATTTTATTTTTGCAGTTTGCTTTGCCATTCCATCCAGACCTGCTGCAGGAGGCCAACAAAAAGGGACTACATTGAAACACCGAGGATTTCTACAAGAAGGATCAGAGCAGACTCTTACTGCTGAGAGGACTGAGGTCTTTTGGAGTGCAGAAGGTGCTCCTAAAGACCTTCTATGACTGTTGTGGCATAAGCCGTCTTCTATGCTGTCTGTTGGAGCAGTGGCTTATCTATACTGTAGCTGAGAGAAAGCGGATGGACAAGCTTATCAGGAAGGCCAGCTCTGTGATTGGATGCCATCAGGACTCAGTGCAGGAGGTGGGGGAAAAAAAAGGATACTAACTAAATAACATCTCTGTTGGATAATGTCTCCCACCCCATGCATGAAGCTGTTGCTGAACTTGAGAGCTCCTTCAGTGACAGACTGCTGATCTCTAAATGCACCATGGAGCATTATCACAGATCCTTCCTCCCAGCAGCTGTAAGAAATTTATAACCATCACTGCTCCCAACAATCTCAATAAGTTGCTACATATATGCTGATTTTTGCTCAGTTTCTATGTTAGTCAGTTATATAACATACTGCTGTAACACCACAATTTTCCCATTGTGGGACAATGAGGATTTTCTATTCTATTCTATTGTATTCTATTCTAAAAGGACACACAGTGAAACAATTTTAGCTTTGCTATAACTTTGCTTCCCTGCAGCTAAGCATCCATGGAGCTGGTGTGTGGATCCCCCTCTAGGGAAAAGGATAAGAGATGCTGGATATGGATAGTCTCTGGCGCTCAGATCAGATGGGTGTGTCAAAATATAATCTACTTATCAAAAAGGTCAGGAGGTAATTAAAACCACTTCAGAATGTCATTCACCATTTATTGGTAATTCATTTTAATCTGTACATGCAGATTAATTAGTTTGTTAGATAGCTATTAGTTATTTGGCTATGGCAGAAGCTGTTAATTAATTTGCTCTTTGGTTTCTTGGCTTAATTCATAGCAGGCAGAGAGATTACAATGGAGAACCCAAATATTCTTATATTAAGACAGATCAGAAAAATTATTTCCAGTAAGGTAAAAAGGTGGAAGCATTTTTCACTAAAAAAGAGCACCCATGTAAAAACAAGTATTGCATTCATCTAGAAGAAAATCATTCTAGATTTCATAACACATCAAAATATATCATACTTTAACGCATAGCTACGGTATTTTATTTTCAATTTTTATCTGCCTGGTTGGAATGAAAAAGCCCTGTAGACCTATATCAGTGTTTCCTCTGAAAGCTTTGTGCATGGAGTATGACTATGCTGCTGTAAACAGAAACAGTTATTGATGACATCAACTATCGCCTGTATGGCAACATCAATTAAGATTCTTTCTCGAAAAAAAAACACTGTGCTTAAAACAGTGCATGCGTCTGATAAAAAATGTCTTTAATAAAAAATCCACCTTTGGGATATGTTCCTGATAAAGTATTGATTAAAAATGTAACAAAGATTTACTTAAGAACAAATATTTATTTAAATGCTTGGACAAAAAAATTTATGTTTCTGTAGAATGAGCCGGATATAAAGACCAGGAGAGCATTTTTTCAAGATATTTTTCTTTACTGTTAAATTTCTCTCACCTGTGTCGATTTGTGTGTTTTTTTCTAATTAATGTTTTTGAAATAAAATAAATATGATTTTAAAAAAAAACTTTCTTTAAATATTGTTTATCTTTTGTGCTTGATTTATTAGTTATTTTGAACCTGATTAAATGCCTTTAGAATAACTTCCACAATAAGACCATGCAATGTGTTAGTCTAATTAAAAACTTGAAATAGGCCTATTATAGCATGCATTGTTTTAAAATGACTGGAAATTAAAAGCTTGTCAAGTATTAGATGCTTTAAAAACAAGCATTTATATTCTCTATAAAAGAATGTTAAATTAAAGCTACTATTTTAAATCTATCCTACCATCAGACATTTAGATTTCCCCGAGCTAACTTCTGAATTTTATAAAACCATAATCCTGTTTTTTTTTCATCCCACCTTTTATGCCATTTTTCCATAAGTTTTCTTTAATAATACTCTTTTTAACTTTTACTTTTTAACTGTAAAATTAATAGGATTTTGAATTGCCCTCTTTGCCATTTGATCTGCCCTCTCGTTTCCTTCTACTCCAATATGTGCTGGAACCCACACAAATACAACAATCAAACCCATATTTTTTATTATGAATAATGCATGAAATATTTCTAATAGAATGTCCATCCTACTATCTGACTGATTGTATTTTAAACTTAATAATGCAGAGCTTACATCTGAACAAATTACTGTTTTTAATGGTTTTATGTCTTCTACCCATTGTAAAGCTGATAATATTGCCAACATTTCCCCTGTGTATACTGATAATCCATCTGAAATTCGTTTTCCTATTTTTATATTGAATTCTGGTATTACAAAAGCTATTCCTATTTTCCTTGTTATTTTTGATCCATCTGTATCATGTACGGTTCTAGACAGGGGCCAACAGGGGCCAGTGCCCCTGTGAATGATGTCCTGACCCCTGTTATGGACCCTGTATTGAAGAAATAATACTTAAAAGATATTCTAACGATGATATGCGCTGGAACAGACAGGGTTACCGATAGGTCCTTTGGATCTATTTCATTTTTTTTTTTTTTTTTACAAATTAGGTTTTACTAATTATTTAAAAACAATAAGGTGATAGCTTCAGTGGTATTGAGATAGGATCCCAGTTTTCATCTGCTAAATGTTTTTTTTTTTTTTCAAAACAAATAAAAAAAAATACTCATTATCATTTTTTCTTGATTTCTAATTCAGATCTTATAAAAAATTGTAATTTTAACTGAAATTAAGTGAAAAATATGTACAATTCCTACATTATGAATGTATATTGACCTCATAAGAAATAGATTTTTTTATTAAATCTAATTGAATAGAAATTTCACTTCATGCAGCCCTCTTAATATATTTGAATCCCTTGCCCTGTTTTTTAGTTCACGCTTTTCTGTGCCCCCATGAAAACACACTGGCCCCCTTTTGGCCCCCTGGTACAGTTGGTCTAGAACCACCACTGATCTGAATAAATTTGAATATATTGATAATAATTGTCTAAATGTACCAAATTAATATCTACCGTGTACGATTAATCTTGTTTATTTCCCATTACTGTCAGAATGATTTATTGTTTAACATTATTTACTGAAAAGGTTCCATTAGGCGGAGTCACGTGGTGAACTTTTGGTATGGTTTGGGTCAGTTTAACCCTGAGGAGGCAGAAAGCAACAGGTTGTCGGTGTGAGGGTCCCTCAATATACCGGTTTTTATCGTTTTAGACATGGTAAGTCTCCATTTTTACCATTATAGACCCTTGAAGTGGCATATGTATAAAAAAAAAATAAATAAATATTAGATTCATGGTATCAGTGTCATGTTAGCTAGCAGATGCTAATGTGATTTAAAAAGGCGGAATTTTTCAAATTAGCTTGACTAAAGCCACATTTCTACCACATTCAACATTAGCGTTAGCATCGCCCCCCCCAAAAAAATAATCAAAATCCGAGTTTTTCGTCGAATTTTGTTTCTTTTTGTTTTGGTCGTGCTTGGTGGAGGTCCTTGTGAGCTAAAGCGGGAGTTAAAACACAACCGCATGTTTTATGCTAATGGACCTAACACTCGAGCATGAAGTTATCGGACAAAACCTAACATTGTTATGGCCGCAATATTGATGGTAAGTTTTTGAGTAAATTTGTACGTTTTATTTATTTTAGTTTATTTCTTGGGGTGGGGGCGGGGTAACATATTTTTAATCAGGCATTGATGTGGCCTCCATGTAGCAAAACCGCTTAGCCTGCTGTTCAAGGTCAAAATATGAACTGGTTCGACTCTAAACTTTCTAAATATGTCATTTTTACTGTGATCGACAACTTTTATTAATTGTATAGGATTTATTTCTCAAATTGGTGTTTTATTTTCTTCTAGGATTTCAGCAAGCCCAGAGGCATCATCCAGACCGTACCTTTGAAGCTACCTAATGGATACATCCTGCCTGAGGGCAGGCTGACTCCCAACGCGCTCTTTGTTGGTGGGATTGACATGAAGGTGAGATCTAATAATTCAATTAAAATCAGATATTTATTGTGTTTGATTTTATGTTATAGGATTTTGCTGATCCTTCGTTTTATATATATATATATATATATATATATATATATATATATATATATATATATATATATATATATATATATATATTACGGTTTTTGTCTTTGTTTGTTATAGTGCTCTGAAAGAAACAGTACCAGAAACTGCAGAAATGCTTGTCGGCCTGACAAGGCATGGTTGGTGCCTTTCTTTAAAAAAAAAAAGGGAAATTCAACATTAAGTATGATAAATCTGTATTAACTTTCTTTTTTAACAAATTAAATATTAAAATTAGCAAAACATTTATAGCTTGAAAGGATGTTTAGTGTTCTCTAAATACTAAATATACACTACATACATTTTCATCAGAGCATTTTTATCAGAGTATCCAGACTGACAGCTGATACATTTTTCAGTCAAGTTTATTTACTTTGTGCCAACTCTTAAAAGTTGACCCTAAAGCCGTAGGTTTAAATTTTAGTAAAAATTTAGTAAATGAATAACAAAAAAGAAAAATTTAGTAAATCCAATTTATTCAACAAGAGCCCTAATATATAAACAGAATCAGACTCTAATACATGCAGTCATGATTTACAGTCTATATCAGGGGTAACCAATTAAAAATCAAATAAAGAAAATCATCAACCAGTAAAGGTCCATATACATTTTTAATTATAATCCGTTACTTTAAACAGAATTTATCAGTGAAATAAAATTAGGTTTTTATGCATCCATGTTATACATTGACTTTTTAATAAAAAAAAAAAGTTTTCCAATTTTTCCATTTTAAAATCTAATGTGTTTTTTTAAGTAGAGAACAACAATCGTTTAGTTTGGTATATAGACAATTTCCTGATTCATATATTTTATAAAACACCTGAACTGAGTTTTTTTTTTTTTTTTTTGGCTTAATGGAAGCAGTGGGTTTTAGGCTGGCCAGCAAGGTTTTAAACCTTGGTTTGAATGGTGACAAAGCCATTCTCAAGCACATATCAAGGTGCTCATTCGTGAGCCTAGATCGAATCAAAATTTTTGATTGTGGTCATGGTGGAGAATCCTGCTTCACAGCAGTAGGTTGACTCAAAATGTGCAGGGTCATCTTTGAGCACATCATTTTCTGTCACCAGTTCACCGCGCTTCTTCCAGCAGTCTACACTTTTTTCAGATTTTCTCATCGTTACCCACCGTCCAGCTTGCCACATGTTTGCCTGCTGTCTCTAAGGCTACATTCACACTGCAGCCTGAAGTGACCCAAATCCGACCTGGATCTGATCTTTTCATGGCAGTCTGAACAACACAGATCCGATTTTTTTCCAATCCGACCCAGGCCACTTGGCTATGTGGTTCTAAATCCGATACGAATCTGATCTTTTCAAATGCAACATGTGTCTGAATGGCCGAGGTTGCATTCATCCGACCTGAACGCCATTAGTAAACAACAAAGGTCACTATTTTGCTTCTTGCTACACAGAAGCAGCAAGAAAAACATGATGATGCGGAGAGCAGTATGTTTTTTTAACCATCATGAAAAGATTGAGGTTTTAAGTCTTGGAAAGATCACTAGATGCGCTTCAGCGCTACAAACATGTTTACTTCCGTAAACACGAAGCACGCTGGCTTGTGACGTCATTGCGTCCTCTACTATGCATGCGGGACACTTAAGCTGTATGAATGCAGTTTACACAGGAGATCACATACAAGTCGCATATATTTGGAAATGTGAACGGCAATGCAAAAAAATTTGGATTTCACAAAAAAAATTGGAATTGAGCATCAAGGCCTGCAGTGTGAATGTAGCCTAAAAGTGCATCACGTGGAGCCTGCACCCGGAGGGTTTTAACTGTACAAACAGCAGAAGGTAGTAAGTGAAATTAGACACTGCCGTCAGACAACATGCTGTAATTTATAAAAGTTTTAAATCAGGTTGGGTCTGGATTAGCCAGCAGGTGGGTCCGGATCCGGACCGCGGTCTGCTAATCCGTGACCTCTGGTCTATATGTTATATATTGAAGGCTAATGGACATTATTAGTGTAAATAAATATTCTTTGTGTTTTTTTTTTTACCCTAAGGCGGATGAGAATGAAATGAGGGAGTTCTTTGCAAGATATGGCAATGTCAAGGAGGTGAAAATAATCACATACCGTGGAGGAGTCTGCAAAGGGTGAGTAGTGATGTGTGATGCCTTCACAGGTTAAGCTTGCTTTTAAGTTTGTCTTTATAAAGGTGTATTGCAAATCATTGTAAATGGGGAAACACAGAGAAACTTAAACATGACTTTTCTTAGCAAAGAGTGCAAGAATCTCCTGTACTAGGTGGTAACAGTTTGTTCCCTGGTGCAAACTGACATAACCTCAGTGTTTAAACTCACTGTCCCAAAAGAAGTATAATTTCTATCAATCAGTGGGTACAATAGGGTGGTAAACAAGGGCCCAGTTTAATAACCTGAGTAGTAAGCAGATACTATGAGTATTTCTACCCCTCTCTTCCCTACTCAAAGTTTTCAGTGAAGTGATACCAGCAGGGTGACCAAACTCAGAATCTAATCAACTCTGAGTTTAGTGTGAGAGCAAGCATATAAGAAGCCTTCATCAATGGAACACAGATGACTTCATTCACCACAGCTACGGCATCACAGAGGCCTCAAATAGCTCAATTTGTGGCCACACCTCCCAGGGCATAGGGAATGAGGATGGAATGTGGGCTGAATCCTTAAAAGGAGGCCTCAATTATCTTTATATATATATGTAAGAGCAAAAAGTCCTTTATTTGTAAACGTGCTAAATAACAAAATTGCTAAATTCAAATCATTTTTGCGAAATCTTTACATTTGGTGTGTATTTCTTTTGATATGCATTTAATGTGTGTAGGTGCAACATAACAGGCAGCAATTAAAGATTTCATTCTCCAAAAATGTTAGTGTAGCACAATATTTTGGCTCCCCATTGCACGATAAAGGGATTTTCTATTATATTCTATAATAGTTACTTGAAAATACTCCCACATGAATCTTATTTGGTGTTTTCTGTAAATAATACAATCTGATGTCTTTATTTGAAAAATGAAATAGAGATATTTCTTTAGAAAAGAAAACATCTAATTATGCTCTAATCATCCTCTCCTGATGGAGATAGATTCAGGGTTTTCTGTGCCCCGTCAGCAGAAAACAGCACATTTCCAACACCAGCTTGTGCAGATCTCTGATTTAAAAAAAGTAGGAAATACCCAGGGTTTCTTCCTTCACAAAGTAATGTGTGGATGTAATTGTGCTCAGGCTAATGATTAATTTATGCAGGAAAGCCAGGGTATGCAGGAATTGACCCCAGAACTCACTCTGGATTGGAAACAGGCCTGCTTTGTGAAATAGGGCCCAGTTAATTGAAAAACTGTAGATTTATGTTTCCATTTATCATCAGGGTTGAATGCATTGACCAATAATTTCATGAATACGAAGGACTGTCTCTTCATCTGTCACTAGGTTTGGTATATTAGGCAACAAATGAGGACTATATCCTAAAAGTTGATGTGTTAAAAGAAAGAAAGATGGTCAAGTGGAAAGATTTGTTAGAGTTGGACAAAAGCATATTTGTAGTGCCCAGACTTTGTCTTTGAAAGTATCAATATTTGTGGTATAAATGTGATGTATGTCATTAGTTTGTGTGAATCTTATTTTCTCATCCCTATTTTCTTTCATTCAATCGATCATTTGAACTGCTTTATGTCTGTAGTTATGGATTTGTGTACTTTCAAGAAGATGTGAACATTCAGTCAATCATTGAGGTGAGTAGATGCCCCTGTATGTATGTAAAACACCCAGGATTCTCTGTCATCTGCTTAATTTTTTTATATTTTACCTTTTAGCAACAGATCATTTTTAAAGGGCGGAAACTCAAGCTGGGACCAGCGATCATGAAACAACGGAGTCCTCGTATGTTTATAAATTCATTTTAGATTGAGCTGAGATTCCTTGCTTTTTAATCCATTACTCTTCTCTGACTTTGCAAGAGTTCGTCAGTTTCCGTTCTAATGTGGCCCATTAAACCAGATGTACTTCTGTTTTTTATTTTTATTTTTTCAGGGTCTGTTCCATCCCGTCTGGTTGGGCCCTCCCCTTTGATGAATCCCTCTCAGTATATGTACTGTGCATGCTGCTCACCTTTGGGAGGAGTGGTCACACATCCCTCACCTGCCTTCAGTGGGGCCAGCCCCTATAATCAGGTGACTCTTTTTCCAATGTTTGGCAGGCAGACTGATTTAAAACTAAATTGAGCCCTTGCTTGAGAAGCATGGATGATCTTTATTTTAAAATTGAAAGGCATCACTTCTCAAACTATTTTGTTTTTAGATAATCAGCCTTAATTTATCACCATAATATTATTAAGCATTTTTTTCTCTTGATTCTTGGATCAGCCGTACCCATACAGCAACTTCGCTGGAGTAATTGTTCCCCAGATGCCGATGAGTTACACACAGAATCCATACCCCTACCAGGTGAGCCCGTCACATTATCACTGACCCCTCGCACCCCCACCATGGACTGTTCTCCCTGCTGCCCTCTGGGAAGAAGCTTCGAAGCATTCAATGAAGGTCTAGTGCAGCGGTCCCCAACCTTTTTTGCACCACGGACCGCTATATGTCAGACAATATTTTCACGGACCGGCCGGGGGGGTGAATCCGATCAAGTAAAATGATACGACTGGCATAAAATCAAATACAAACAGCATAAAAATAAAACAACAAGCGGTCCCATCTAGGTGTAATCGGAGACAATGACACACAAAGTGTGCTCCTGATGTCCAGTCTGCTCCGTAGCTTTGTTTTGGTCGCTGTAACCGCAGAAAATCCCGCTTCACAAAGATAGGATATTATAGATAGCATGAGTCTTGAACTGAATTAACCTGTGTCAAGAGGCACAGATGCACCGAGTGATGTAATTGGGAGAGAATACAGCAATTTTTT